GGCCGGCCCAGCCTCAAACTGTGACACATGCTTATCTTGCTTTATCTGACCAAAACTAAATGAAGAGAGCATTGCTGCATGTTAAAGGGTGTCCACATTTCTTTGTTCTAAGGTACTACTTAGGACCCAGCCATTTACTATTCTACCAATATTCCAAATTGCATTTAGATAGTTGAATTGGTTTCGCTATTAAAAGACTGGTGCAACGAACAGATGATACTACCTACTACCTCGTACAATCATGAGGACTGAACAACCAAGGCTAACATGAGTGTCAAATACTTATGGGGTAATAACTGTGGCAAAACAGGTAGCCAGGAAGCATTATAGCACATTTTCAAAGCTGTTTTGTTGTGGAGTTTTTTTCCTGGAGAGTTAAAGTGGAGTACAATTAATAGCAGTTTGTACTCTTCAGAGCTTACACAATACAACCACAGCTGTGTCATTGCAACAAATACTATTTCCCACCTTGAAGTTTTTGGAAGTTGAACTAAAGCTGAAGTGATTAGACGTGTGCAATTTTATTAAAATTAACTAAACCAGAAGTCTATAAAGAGACAGCCATAAGTAAAAGAAGTGCAGCTCTGAGAAAGTTTGGGTTACAAGTCAGCACTTCTATTAGCTTACCACAAGAACCTGATTTCCAAAACAACACAAGACCACAGTGCTGACAGTGGTAACTCATACTCATGGTTCAGCATCCTTCATTAAGTGTTTTTGCAAAGTAGGGTCTCTTCTCAGCCATGCAGAGATAATTGGTGTTTGTATTGCTACAGTGGGACTAGGTACAGCATGTTGAGCACTAGGGGCATTCTTCCGGTTGTACCAGCCTACACTTAGCAGTGCAAGCTTCTTGTGTATTTTCATACCTGGACCATCTGCATAAGTTAATGTCTTCTGCTGTTTGTAGAGATTGTAGATCCTCATCAAGTTTTCAGCTCTGTTTTGAAAAGAGAGGTTTAAGCTTTTTGTTGTAAGATTGTAGAGTTTAATATAGGCAATTATAGGTTAGTAAGGTACCTAGCAAGTTTGTCCTCTGCCAGTTTCTCTCGAACACAGAGTTCCCGTTCTCTCTCTGGAAGTAGAAATACAATAGTATGCAGTGTTAAAATGTAAGTGTTAGAGCGATTGTGCATGATGGATTTTCTTGCAGAAAGAGACAGCAGTAATAGAGCCTGTCAGATTCACCCATATTTCTGCTTCTATGGCTTTAAACAAAGATAACTGCTGTGTAGCTACACCTTTATCAATGCACGGATAAAGCATTGGACAAGAACCCTGAAGTGCTAAGCATACTTTCCCTTCCCCTCCCAACTCTGCCATGAACTATAGCTATAGCAGCTTTCTACTCTGCACATGAACTCATATAGCACACATGACACCTGATCATATATATTTATATACCAGATGCTATAGCATTGAGCTATAATTTGGCTATGACTAAACACCTTGTTTACAGCAGCAGCTGTTGTTCAGGCTCAGAAAACAACATATTTAGTTAAAATCTGTATTAGAGTCTACTGCATATGCAAAGAGGTATTATATGTGGAAAGGAAATCCCAGCACCTGAGGACCAGCCATCTATAGTTTCTCAGGTAAGCTACCTGTAGGGTGCAGATTTTATAAAAATAGTTGATAGTTTACTCAATGTATATTTTGCTCCAACATCAGGCTCACCTTAGGTATACACATGAGTATAGCCAACGTTAACTTACAGAGTAGGTGAAAAGAAACATACACCACAGTGCAGAACAATATATCCAGACTCTGTTTTTCTGTATACTTTCCTAATTGTCACTTGTGCTTAATAATCTTCCCAGATCACACTTCTATATCCAAACCGCCAATTATATCTTAGTAGCTGAAAACAAGAACTAGTATAGATGAGTAAGCCCAAGCATTCTTGTTTTAGTCTTTAGACAGAATTCTAGTAGTGAATGAAGGAGTGCAATATCCTAGTGCATTAAAATGAGGGTTTTGAAAACTGTCTGCCTTTCCTTCCTACACACTTATTCTTTTGAATCAAAATCCCATTGCCATCCCCTTCCCAAAGTGGAATATCATACGCGCCAAACGTCGCTCCTGTACTTGTTGTTCTCGCTCCTGTACTTGTTGTTCTCGCTCCTGTACTTGTTCCTTCCGTTTCAGCTCATTCTCTGCAGCATCTGAGTGCTGCAGCCTTTCTGGCTCCCATAATCTCCAGACTCTTTTGTCAAAATTTTGTCTTTGTTCTTCTGTCACCAAGTCTGCTATCAAGGGATGCTGCAGAATATCTTCAACAGAAGGTCGGCAATAATCCTAAAGGAAAGATATTACCAACATGTTCCATCTGTAACAAGAAACATTAAGGCCAGGAATTCCCAAGCAAGACCCACTGCAGGTAGAAACCAGCTAAGGTGCTATACAGTGAAGGAGAAGTTGGAGAAAGATGGAGTTACGAAGGGATAGCACAACCATGTGAGAGAGGAGGCTGCACGTCTGGCTCTCCCAGCCCAGGTACCCACTCTTCTCAGAGCCAGAATGGGGTGGTGGGCCTACAGAGGCCATTATCTGTATGTTCTGGAGCTAACACTGCATCTCTACCTGTCACTTGACTCCTGAAGGATCCAAACCTGTTGGAGACTTGGGTTCTTGTTACAGCTTTGTTTTCCCATGCAGTATTCTTCTCAACACCCCCATGCCAGCCATGGGGGCAAGTTATACATTAGCCATATAGAGCAAAATCTAAAAGACAAAACAACCCCTTCCAACTTGTAAAGACACTGGAACCATTTTAACCCTGAAGTTCTAAGGCCTTGTTAAGCATACCATTAGGAAATTCTGCATAAGCCAATATTGCAACAGCCTTTTTGCATCCTGGGAACATAACACTTGAGCTGCTGCCTCTGTTTAACAGACTCAAAGCAGAATTCCTCTCTCCTTCCCCTACAAGTGATGCTGCCAGTGACAAGGTGACAGCAACCACTACTTCAGATCAGTTTGTTTCATAATTGAGAAGAAAAACCAGTATTTCAATGCTAGTTTAAATTACAGGTGGAAAAATTAGTAATTGATTCTTACCTTTACATTCAGCATCTCTTTGATAAGTTCATTCAACTGCTCTGAGTAACGATACGGTATTCGTCTGAACTTCCCTTCCCATTTCTTTTCTGCCAACTCCTTTTGGTTGTAAGCTCTAAATGGAGGCCTGAAGAACATAATTTTTCTTTGATTCTTTCACTAGTTTTACATTAGTTTTAGTTTAAAAAGTATCAGACTAAGAAAAAAGCTGCAATCAAAGGTTTGTTTTGACTACCTAGTGTCAAGTTCAATACAGAAATAAAAATCTAGGACTAGTCTTCGAAACCTTTAAGCTTTCATCTATACAAAATATAATTATACATGCATTAACAGCAATGTTCCCACATTTCTTATCCCACTGCTATACTTACAAGAGAGCACATAATTCGTACAGGAGACATCCTAGAGACCAGATGTCAGATTTTTCATTGTATGACATGTGGTTCATTTGTTCCTAAAGAAAGAGAACAATCTTAGGTTTATTAACCAAGCCATTGTTCTACTATTGCAGGATAATCAACTATTGTTCAAACCTGAATGAAACCATTAGTTACCAGGGTCACTTTTAAGATTCCATTTCAATCTCCACAGCTACTCTTACTAGCAGGATTTTAACAATTTATGGCAGTACTATACTGTAGAAGACTGAAGTGCTGCACCAGTCTTCAGTTGGTAGAGCTCTATTTTTCAGTCAACATTAATCTTTCCCACACAAAATGCATCATATCAGGGAAATAACTCATTGTTGCTTGTTTCCACTACAAATTAAAATCCTACCATCCATCAAGACGTAATTTAATAAGCTTTTTACCTTAAGACTATGAAAGATAAAAGCACTCTAGCTTCCCTGTTCCTTTTCAGAAACAATATACTGCAACATATCTCTAATATCACAAGAGCATACCAAAACTTATACAGTGATCAGCCACCTTAATTAGAAGGCAGTGACAGGGTGGGGAAGAAAGGAGATGAAAATAACTGAAAGATAGCCTTGTCTCCAGAACATAGACACTCTATGAAAAAGTCACCTGCATCTAAGACTAGTAACGCTTCATTAAAACCTCCCAAACATTCATGGACTGAGATCAACACTGCAGAAAACTGATCTTGGAGAGACAAAAGGGAAGACAAGGCACAGAAGGGAGGTCTTACTGGAGACATATAATATGGAGTTCCAACAAATGTTCTGGCAAAGCTGGTGTCATGGTGCAATATTCTAGCCAGTCCAAAATCTCCAAGTTTCACATTCCGCTTGCCATCTAGAAAGACATTTGCTGGTTTTAAGTCACGATGCACAGTGACTCCACCATCACTCCGTCTGTGACATTCCTTCAAGGCCAATGCCAATTGAGTCAAGGCTCGGAGAACAAAGCTTTCTTCCAAGTAACACCTGAAAGATGAACACATTGGTTAACAACTGTATTCCCTGAACATACACCAGTTTAAGTAGTTGCTGCCAGTCTTAGTTCTGTAACTTTAATACTATTACAAGACATCACTGAATCAACCCCAGCACTTTTACAGAAAACTAACAGCAACAAGGATCTACACATGCTATTTTAAAAATAGAAATTTTAAAAAATCTCTCCAAATAGGTTGGAAGACATCCAGACCTTTGTTGCAGAATCCTTGTAGTATTTCCTTCCTTCCCCAGAGAATTTAAAAAATATGTGGCATTTCCATTACTTACAACACAAATATCAATTTGATGCTTTTGTGATGAGATCTGTCCCTGTGATCACTTATGATAACAGTATATTGTCAGCCATTTACAATGAGCAACATACAACAACAACAGAGCCAAACAGGACTGATTTTTAATGTAACTTTCCTTAAATGAAAACACAGATGTTTGGGAGCAGCTGCAGTGCCATTATAGACTATTCTCACAAAGTAACACGTGGTGTCACATCTTATTTAACCTAAGAATGTGAAAACTGATATTACACTTAAGTAGTAGGCTGCTAAGTCTGCTATTAGACCAAAGTGAAGTCTTATCAACTTGGTGTCTCCACGAGCTTTATATGCAGGCACATAAAGAAGCTTTTAACATTGTGTTCAAAATCACTTTTCCCTTTTGTTATTTTGGTGTTCTAACAAAAAAATAGGGTACAAGTAGTTTTACTGATAGGCAAGCCAGAAGAACCCACAGATCAAGCTACCCATCTGCAAGAACTATGCCAATTTATGTTTTCAACACCATGCATAGCATTGCATCCAGAAACCCTTCAACAGCTTCTGCCTCATAAGAGAGCTCGGATTTTTTTTTTTTAGTATTTTGACATAAACACCCAATTAGTCAGTGTGTTCACTAGCACAATTCCCACCAGTGTTGTAACTTTGTACAAAGCTTTTCACGTTTCAGAAGAGTTGTTGGGTCCAGAGGATTAAGCCTAAAGTTGGTCAGAAGTTACTGAGAAGAAATACATTCACATCTCTTTTGATAGCCCAAGATACTTCATGCTAGATACTCCAAACTTGCCACAAACAGATCTCACATACCTTTCTTCCATGCACCTAGCAATTAAGCTAGCCAGGTCACCACCTTCACAGTACTCCATCACGATGTAGAGGGTTGTGTTGCTTCTGTCGATGATCCGATCGTAGTACCGGACGATATTCGGATGTCTCAGCTCACGAAGCAAATTCACTTCTGAAACAAGCATTAGTTTCTCTGCCTTTGTCATTGAGCCATAGTCAATCTCCTTCCACACCAAGACCTGGCGAGGGAAAAAACACCTTAGGGAGTAACTTATAGACAAGCCAGAGCTCTGCAGGGGGAAGAGGGGCTTTCAAAGCCACTCGCGTATCCCGGAGAGCCGCCAGCGCCC